CTTTTTTTTTCAATAAAAAAATTATATTTAAAAAAAAAGAATAAAACATTTTAATGTCTCCTAATGACATCCCAAAAGAAAGAAAATCTGGATTTTAACATTTTAAACTTTATAATGCCTTGTTACATTTTTCCCTTTGATTTGAATCTATGCTTTAGGTGTGTGACAAAATAAACTGTATATTCTCTATATTTTCAGAAAACCAGGATGACATTCTGGAATGGAAGATATATGTTTTTTTTTTCTTTCTTTCTGAGCTTAGTAACTGTTGTCTGGAGTTCACTATGATGCTCCCTAGGAGGTTTCCATGGCTCTACATGCCTTAAGGATGTCACCTTGTCCTCATTCTTGTCAATAAGGATAACCATTGGCACTATATAAACATTTTGTCTCTAGGACAAAACTTCTGTTTAGTATTCAGTATGTATTCCTAGAGAACATGGGAGGGATTCATTATTCTACATATATTTATAAAGTTCCCATGCACATGTCAGATTTAATTGCTTCAATATTAGCCCTGAAAAAAGCATCCATATATCTTTGATCTATGGACTTAGATAACAAAACATATGTGATATGTATGAAGGCAGACATTATAAACAAGAAGATAAGGTTTCATCTGGTGAAGGAAGGTATGGAGAATCCATAGTACATGGGACAGGTTTTCATGCTTTTCTAATGGAGAGTTTCCAGACTGGCAGGAAAATAATGCATCTAACAATGGAGCATAGATGCATGCTGTGATGAAAGAATGGTTCAGGCAGGAGATCGAAGGGCAGACAGAGGACTGAGTTTTAGAAGGGGTAACAAACACTAAAGACCTTTGAGAAAGTCATGTGTAAACTATTATTGCACAAGATTCCTAAAATATTTTCATGTCTAGAAAGAGTTTAAATTGATGTACCTTTTCATGCAGAGACACTGTTTCTCCTAGACACCACAGGGTATCAAATAAAAGCCTAGAAACAAGTTCCTAGCCAACTGTGTCTCCATAGATCTTCTAATATTATGGGGTATTGAGACTGCTCTTGAGTATTCCCACACTTGATGATTAGACCCTAGTTCAGAAGACACTATATAGTTCAATCACATCTTGGAGAAATAAAGGTTGTGTCAAACTAAAACTGGCTCTTGTGCTTTCTAGCTTTTAAAAAAAATATATATTGACTTATGAACTGTTTTGCACTCTCTTTTTTGTTCTTTGGTACTTTCAAAAAGGAAAGCAATGGACTTGATCATACAACACAATACACAATGTCAAACTCTGATCCACTAATTCAAACACAGAGACCTGAATAGAAGGCATGATAATTTAACTTGCATTATATGAAGTCATCACAGGCAAATATTTTCCCTCAACAAGATCCAAAGTCTGCTGAGAAACTAATCATTCTCCCATAGCTGTCTCTCAACTGTTCTTTGTCACTAAAGAGAAAGAAGAATGCAACATTATTTGAAAGTAGATCATGTTTTGTGTAGGAAGTTGGGAGGTCAACCTGATATTGTCCGGCTTTTATAGTCTACACATGCTATCAAAGGAGAAATGTAATAATCATTTTACCCAGGTGTGAATCCTAAGACTGACTTGGGAGGACATACACACTTGTGTAATATTTCCATAAGTTTTGTTGGAGTAAACAAATATTTTGGGATTGGATTTTGGCTTGCTCCACAACCAGTATTCATTCTTAGCATGGTACTTGGGGCCCAAGAATAGATCAATCATAGGTCTTAGAGAAGTACCTGTGACTACTTCTCTGCTATGAATATAGTATTAAACTGAACTCTAATGAATTTCCACTATATGTTATACCCATTGATTAAAGCATCTGTCAACCTTCATTAGAGGTGCTTCTTTTGACAGTAGATGGTAGCTAACACAGACATCCAAAACTAGTTATCAGGTAGACAATAAGGGACTGTGAATGCTTAATCCTATATAGAAGCTCCATATTCTCTCAAGACTCATGGGTCATTATGGAAGTGGGAAAGGAAAGACTGAAAGAGCCAGAGAGGATGTTTTCAGTATTCAATATGTTCACTGCTCAAATGCATTCTCTGTGGTAGGAACAATATGCAAATATGCTAAGATCAAGCCCACCAAAATCCAAGCATTGAAGGAGGATATGGTTATGAAGTTCCACCTATAACTGGGGAATTGTTGGTAGATGGTTACTATTATAAACCTAGTAATTTTTCTTCAAGGATCTGCTACTTGAGAGTTCACTTAAACTCACACAGACATCCTTATATACATATACATACTGGTAGTGTTGAGGGGACACAGTGGGTTAAAAAACAACTATAAGAGAAAAAATAGGTGAAGTTGAGAAGGAAGACTATTGGGATATTGATTGGAAGAATTGTAACAAAAGGATTAGGATTAATGTGATCAAAACACATTATGTATGTGTATAAAATTTTCAAACAAAACATCAAAAGAAAACAATAGTGTATACCTCCTATAAACTAATGTCATTGCTGTTGGACTAGTCTGTAAGCACCATCGTGGCAAAGGCTGATCTCTGAGGAAAATAGCTGGCAATCTTAAGCCTTCCAATTTTACTCAGCTCCCTAAGACTGAAAGCTCACAGAAACCTCTTGGGTCATTATCTTGTGGCCCTTGTGACATCACATCAGTAGATGCTACATGCAACCTCTGCCTGAGAGAGGACATCTGGGCAAAGCCAAGCAAGAAATCATGATCCATGATTCATGGCTTCTTAGAATCCAGATGAATGAGATCTCTGGCTTCTCCAGTTCAAAATTAATATCTTTATCATCAAACAGCCAAACCTAGTGATAACAGAAAAGAACTTTTCTTCCCTCTGGATTATACCCCTTACAGTCCATCAGTGCTACTTATATTTGTCCCTCTGTGAGAGGAGTGAAGTGATAGCAAGGTTACTTGTGAGTTCTTCAAGGACAGAGGTAAGAGTCAAATTGAATGCTTCTTTTGGAATTTGTTTGTCTTATGTTTTCCTCAAATCATCTCAGAGCAATCCAGTTGGTCTTTGATGTGCCTTGTACCTTCTCTTTTGAGATGACCACTGAGCCTGAATGGGGAGGTAGATGATCAAAGGTAGAAGCCGAACATAGATGATGTAAAACCAAAAATAGTCATTAGTGCCCTGAAAATTATTCTCAGAGATATGGCATTTCATACATTTAAGTTTATTTCTGTACATGAGCTCACATAAAATGTAGAAATCAAAATCACAGAGAAGTGTGAACTTGAATTTATTATTTGATTTTTGTTCTAAGTCTCATTTTAATGGGGTAGTTTGGAGAGGCTGGGATCTCATTCTAATTTACTCTTTTTACTCTTCTCCTAGCTATGACTCAAGGAATGGCCTCAGGAAACGACTCTTCAGTGAAGGAGTTTATCCTGCTGGGTTTGACACAGCAGCCAGAGCTCCAGCTGCCTCTCTTCTTTCTTTTCTTGGGAATCTATGTGGTCTCCATTGTGGGGAACCTGGGCTTGATTGTTTTGTATCTTTTGAACCCTCACCTGCACACCCCCATGTACTACTTTCTCTTCAACCTTTCTTTCACAGATCTCTGCTACTCCTCTGTCATAGTCCCCAAAATGCTGGTGAGTTTTGTAAAGCAGAACATCATCTCCCATGCAGAGTGCATGACTCAGCTCTTTTTCTTTGCTTTCTTTGTTATAGATGAATGCTATATTTTGACAGCCATGGCCTATGACAGATACGCTGCAATCTGTAAGCCCTTGCTCTATCCGGTCACCATGTCCAATCAGATCTGTCACTTAATGATGGTGGGTGTGAATGTGATGGGGTTTGTGGGTGCAATGGCCCACATAGTTTGCATGCTCAATCTGACATTTT